AAAAACAGGAAAAAAAAAAAAAAAGCGGGGAAGAGGCAGCTTTATTTCTCCCTGACATTTAATAACCTTTATTGTCCTCTGAGCGGCAGTTTCCCATTCCGAGAGCGCRGCTGATCTTCCCCCAGGCTGGGAACGCTTTGGCTGCCCCGTCCCCTCTCGCCCTACACCAGAAACCCCAAAAGGTTCCCGAGGCACAAAGCAGAAGGAAATGTCGGGATGGGGCCGGCCCTTCCGGAGCAAACCRGGATTCTCCCCGCGGCATTCCCAGGATGCCGGGGAGAATTTTCAGCACCGAGGTCGTGCAAAAGATTCCAGGGACGCAGCGGAGCATCCGAGCCATCGGATGAGGCACTTACCAGGCGAGGGGGAGAGGCGCTGACAACTCGCGGGAGGCGAAAAGAGGGAATTAATGGGGCTGCAATTCCCACTGCCTCCATCGTTAGGGAAGGAAAGCGCATCCGAGCAGCCTCACTCCAATGCACAGCGTAATTTGTTTCGAGTTTAATGTCACCCCGCTTTCCCAGAGATGGGAAAAGCCTCTGGTAGCATCGGCCGTGCTCCAGGGAAGGTGGGAAGGAAAAAGARGGGATTTGAGGGGTTTTGTGGAAGGAAAAGCTCGGCCAAACCTGGGCTGGTGCTGCAAGAGGCTGTGAACACTGAAGGAAACATCACCCCCAGGAGATGCTGGCTAAAAAAAAAACTAAAATCAGCTCGATATTGAGTATCAATCTTTTATGAAGGGCATCGGGAAGGTTTTCTCCTTCCCACCAAAAGCAGCATCGCCCTGTCCTGCACAAAGCAACGGCATCACCTCACCCGAAAACAGGAGTTTGGGGCAGGACAGGAAAAGGAGGGGGRAACCCCGGTTTTCTCTGGGATTTAATCCTCTCTCGGAGCCCTGAGTTTTGCACGGGAAGGTCGGGATTTTCCCCSGCCTGATGTGTTTCCTCCTCGGGGCCTCTTGTTTGCGCAGGCGGCCGCGAACGTTTCCTCCTCCCGGAAAAGCTCCGGAGGGAGCAGCCCGGATGGGCGCTCACATCYCTGCCTTCCCAAACCTCCAAAATCACTAATTTAGGAACCAGACCCACCCAGCCCATCCCGCTCACAGCCTGCAGAGCTCCCCTGCACCTCCTGCTTCCACCTTTGAATCCCAGAGCACGGTGGGGCTGGGAATTCCAGCCAAACCTCCAGGTGCTGCTGCAGGAGAGAAATAATAAAATACAGACCTGGGGGTCCCRCGGCAGCAGAATCGATGGGTTTTTTTCCTGCAGGGCTGGGATGAGGAAGAGATAAACCAGCTTGCTCTGGGGCACAGGCAAACAGCTGCTTATCACCGCGCTGGCAGCCCCGAGGCTATTGCAGGGTGTCAGGAAAAGTATTATTCCTCCCCGCTCCCGGGAAAGTTTCTATTTTTGGCCCCTCCGTCACCGGGAGCTGCTGCCTGCGCCCGCTCTGGGCTGGGAGAGCAGCCAGCCCTGCAGAGCCCCTTCCTCCCGCTGCCAAACTCACCGGGAAACGGAATTTGGGGGAAACTGAGGCAGTTTGGGGGCAAGCTGAACAATCCACGCTCAGCTGGCTCTGAGAGAAAGCTGCAGGGAGGGCTCAGAGCCCCTTCCAATGCCTAAAGGAGCTCCAGGAGAGCTGGAGAGGGACTGGGGACAAGGGATGGAGTGATGGACACAGGGAATGGGGTCACACTGCCAGAGAGCAGGGGTGGGTGGGATATTGGGATGGAATTGTTCCCTGGGAGGGTGGGGAGGCCCTGGCACAGGGTGCCCAGAGAAGCTGTGGGTGTCCCTGGATCCCTGGAATTGTTCCCTGGACAGAGTTTGGGGCACCCCTGGGACAGTGGGAGTTGTCCCTGCCATGGAGGGGTGGAATGGGATGAGCTTTAAGGCCCCTTCAACCCAAATCATCTTAGGATTCCGTGATAACCCAAATCTCAGATTACAAGGGGCAGAGCCAGACTTTGTGCTGGACTTTCAGTGACACTTTGGGGCTCATTGGTTATTTTCAGGCTGGAAAATGGTGAATCCTGTGTCCTTGGGGGACAGACAAAGCCACAGCTGGCCTGACCCTGTGTGGGGGTGAGAGACCACCAGGTCCTTCTGCCAACACATTTGGGACCCTCCCTGCCTGCACCACAACTCCTTGGCCAAACAGAGCAGATCCATCCTTCTCCTCTGTCTCTGGCTCCACTTCCCAGCCCTCATCAGCTCACAGGGGTG